TAGGGACAGGCCTGGACTGCATCAGCTCAGCCCCCATCATGTCACAAATTAACCCTAGGGAACACAAGTTCCCTAAGGCTCTGCAAAGTGGAGTGCCTTCATCTGATACTTCATTTGATGAGGGTTAATTTGTTGTGAGATCAGCCACTTCAAAAGCACTCTGCAGACTTACACATTTGTCACAGCACAGCTGTAGTGTGTTTTTAGGAGACAGATTGCATGACAAACATAACTTCTGTCTGCACCCCAAAGAATCCAAGATGCCCTACAAAAATGAATGGACAACCCTGACAAGATATGTGGAAGCCTACTTAAGCAATGCATTATCTTATACTTGAACATTGTCTCCTTTTGTTATGTTTCTGTTCAAACTATAAGGTCCTTGGAGCCGGTGCCATGTATCTTAATGATGTGCTAAGTGCTTAGAAACATTGGCTGCTTTGAGCCAGATTTTTTTAAAGGAGTCACAAGCAGCAGTCTCCAGGGTGACCACCTGCCAATATTTTCAAAAGAGCTTTTGCGAATCTGGTTCCAGATGTGGGTGTTGAAAAAAACAGAAAAAATCTGGCCATATATCAGTAAATACACCAATCCACACAGAGTCTAAAAACACACTTAGAAATGATCCCACTATTAAATTATGCTGCATTTGTAAGCTTCAGAAAATATTTTAACTCAATTAATCTCTAAGGTAAAAAAATCTGTTTCTGATATGCTTGATTTAATAAAAAAAGTGCATAACACTTTAAAAGTCCAGCAGTAAATAAAATATAGGATGACTCTCTCCAGGAATTATGGTTAACATTGTATGACGCATTACAGTAGATAATGGATCAAGAGAGGTATTTAAAATATATTGCCATGCTGAGTATTTTAAATAACACAGCCTCTCACTGTATCTTTTCCTAAACTAAGTCTTAGTCCTTTAGGCCCACTTGAAGTCAATGGAGATCAGGTCACTATTTTGTAGATTTGCTGTATGCTTTATATGTTACAGCCATATTCTATCCCAGAAGCTGCACTACAGTGGAAGTAAAGTGGGGTCTCTTTGTGTATGTGTGTATAATAATATGAAATGCATGTGCAAAGTCATGTAAGAATATGCTAAACTGCAAATTTATGTACCTGTGACCACATCATGTGGACATTGCCTTCTAATACATCTAAGCCAGTGATTCTCAACACCTTCAGGGGCCTTAATATCCTTTCAGGGGTGCCGCTGGGTGTCATGCAATGTTAGTGCTGTTAGGTGTGCAAACATGATTCACAAGATCAACCCAGAGTGTTCACTTGGGAATCCATAGTGTTAAAAACATTCTGAGTTCTTTGCAGTAAGAATTGATCTATTATTTTTATGTAGCCAGAAAAACAAGTGAAAACCAAAAGCTGACATTTTCTGAGGCGTGCCTCGAATCCTTTGAGAGATGCCTTGAGTCTAAAAATTAAGGGTGCACCAATAGAGATTTTTTGAGCCAATACTAATAGCCGATTTTTAACAAACCATATCAGCCAATACTGATCCGATTGCCAATATGCAGTCCTGCAGTGTGAAGAGCAGTGACTGGCTGGTAAGTCTGTTGTGGGGGGAGGGAAGGGGAGGGGAAGAGAAGGGGTGTGGGGGGAGTGGCAAATCGAGGCCCTCAGGGTAAGGGAGGGAGTAGCACTGGGGCAGGACAGGCACTGCCCAGCTAGTGTGGGGCAGGGCACAGAACGGAGCTGCAGCTCATCTGGGAGATATGGGGGGGCAGCTTCTGCCGCTAAATGCACCCCTGGGAGGGCATGGGGGGCTTGTGCCCCCCAGATCTGCACACAGGGTGAGGGTGGGCTGCCACTGCAGGCTGGGGCCAGGGTCTCACCGGGCTCTTCCTAGTGGGGGGCTGGTCTGGACTGCGCTTGGGGCACACAGCAGCAGTGCTGAGAGCAGGGCTATGGTGAATTTTGGGTGGCTGCAGCCCCTGTAATGCCCCCTCCCAGCACTGCCACTGCCCACCCCAAGTGCAGCCCTGGCCCCAGCCCACAGTGGCAGCCCGGCCTACCCTATGCGCAGATCCAGGGGGTACACCCCCCCACCCCCCCATGTCCTCCTGGGGTGCGTGCAGTGGCAGCAGCCATCCCTCCATCCCTGCACCCCTAGATGAGCTGCAGCTCCATCCTGTGCCCTGCCCCACCCTGGCTGGGCAGCCCCTGCCTCAGCCCCAGTGCCAGCCCCACTGCCTCCCTCACCGCAGAGGCCTTGATCTGCGTCCCCACCCCTTCCCCCACAACAGACTTACCAGCTAGAGCCAGGTGCTCTCCACACTGCCAGGCTGCACTCCTGGCCACCTGCATGCCAAGCTGTGGCTGTGCACATGCACACAACATTTATTGGCCATGTTATCAGTCACATCAGCCAAAAAAAGCGGATTGCCATTACTCTCAAGTGCTGATCTGATATGGGACCAATGTATTGGTTATCTCTACTAAAAATCTTAAGAATTACTGATTTAAGTCCAGGGCTTTCTACCCCTTTGAACAGTTTGAAGCAGGACTGTGAAGGGAATTGTTTTCTTATCCTTATTTCCCTCTCTCCTCAAATGTTGAATTTCTTCTTGAAAGTGACATGAGTTTAAGGGTAAAATGAGCAATATTCATTCTGGATCAGTGACCAGCTCACAGGCATGACACAGTAGGTTTTGACTCCAGAGTTATCATACCACTAGAACTGAGAAATAACCAGCATTCCAGGGATCTAGATCCAGTCTGTTTTCTAGTTCTGGCAAGTGCTGAGACATTGAACTTTATAATGGTTTCTAAACTGTTCTGGTTCCATCTTGGAGGCCAATGCAATTGTACTCATGGTATCTAAGCAACATGGCTGTATAAAAGGAAGTAAACTATTAGAACTAATAATTTTTCTTGTAATTAATTCTCCCGCATTCGTTTTTGCTGTAAAATACAGAAAGCTTGGTGATGCAGTGTAAACATTTTATTTATACCTGTTTGGGATGATCTGCATAATTCACAGGAGTCTCTTAAATTATCCAATGCTGTCATGTGTTCTTTCTATATGGAAATATATTTTGAAAATAATGGCTTTGCTCTGTAAAACCAATCAAAATACTGACATGTACTTCAGGCATCTAAAATATTACAGAAAAATAATGATCTTATTCTTCTCTTTCAGTATTCTAGGCTTTCAAAGCAGTATGGAATGGACATCTACCTAAAGAAAGAGTTCCTCCAGTACACAGGATCTGTAAAGGAACGGGGTGTCCTCTACCTTCTGTCATCACTACCACAGGTTGGACAAATTATCAAAGAACAAAAATAAATAAATAAATAGAAATTAAACTTGCTTGACCTAAATGCAGTAGGAAGCTGCCAAATTAAGGACGATTTGGCATCTTACCTGTACCTCCCAAAGACTTCCTGCATTTCTTCATTGAGGAAATATGCTTGGCACAGCACTCAGATACTGCTGTGCTGAGCATCAGAGACACTTATAAATATATTTTGTTACATATCTTTTACATTTGGTGAATCAGTGGGATATTTTTTGTGCAGTCTTGAGAGAAATAATTGAAGGAAAGGTTAGAAGAGTGCAGACTTCAGGACTTACCCTGATACTGAAATGAATTAACTTTGAATATTATATACTGCTGTGTTTCCCCAGATATGCTGAGACAACAAACTGAGCAATGACAAAGCCCATATTAAAGGCAGATGAGTGAGTAGTTTTGTGGATTAATGAACTGGTAAATAGTTTTGTAAGGAATTCCAGTAGCACTTGAATAACTGGTTTTGTCTCTCTTGTAGATAGTATATGTTATCTCTTTGTAGAACTAATAATACTATTTGGCCTAGTATCCTGCATCTCTGAGATTGTTTCTTCCTACACCTTTGGGAGAGTCATTCACATAGGAATGTGAAGCAGAGAAGTACAGTGATTTTTTTTCCTGTGACCAGAAAAAGAGACCAGATCCTATATCTATTACAGTCAGTGGGAGCTATTCAGTTGATTAAAATGAGAGAAAGATTGGCTCCAGGAATTTTTAAATGTGAGATTTCACTTAAGAAATTTTACACTGAAATGCATAATCTTTGTCATAGATTGATCATCTGAAGTGGGAAAGAGGACTAGGATAGGGAAGTCTGAAGACTAAAATGATCCCTCAGAAACTTTCAATAAATCTGTGCTTATTTGGACAAACTGTTACTTTCAGTACTCCATAATCTAGCATAAGCGAACATATTTTGCAGGATCAGCAGAGAAATGGTGTGATCGTGGCCTCCGACAGTAACTTTTGTATGGCAGTTGCATACCATGCTTCAGAACTCCACATTCCAGTGTTTGTCATCATGTCTACCAGCACCTCTCTAGCCAGAGTGAAAATGTGCCGTGATTATGGTGCCATGGTTATTTCCTATGGCACTACAGCCAAGGATTCCCAGATGCATGCAAGAAGGCTGGCACAAGAGAATGGCTATTTGTACCTTGAAGAGTAAGTGGCAGTTTTTTTAGACAAATGTGAAACTCTGCAACAACTCATTTTCTTTATGTATGTGCACAAACTCAGACCTTGACCCTGGCTTATCAAACATTTCCCTGAGTTTCCTGAGAGGTTGGTCCAAATTTAGACTGATGTGTATTTTCAAGTGCAAACCATGGATCTTTGTGGTGTATTTCCAAGGTTTGCTTCCCAGATATACCACATTCATTGGCTATGGCTACTTGAGTTTTTAGAATGGTTCAAAGCAGAACTCAAACCTGTTTATCCCTCATCATTGCCCTGCTGCCTATAGAAATACTGTAGATGTAGCAGTTGTACAAAACTAACTACTAAATATGAAAATGATAGGATATTAAAATGAATCACTTATAAAGCACTGTCTAAATGTAGGCGACATCCTTGGAAATGGAAAAAAAAACTGAATGATTTCTCTAAACAGTTTCAGATCCATTACAGTTCTTAAACTGGGCCAAAGGACTCCTGTTCAGACTATTCACTGCACTGTTCTTGATTACAAGCTTCAACTTCACAATTTGGAGAGCTGCAGGAGCTTGCTAGGCTGCATTTGTCTCTGGAGATACAGCCAGGGGGACTCTAGTCCTAGAGACACACAATCCGTTAGCTTACCTATGGCCATTGGGTATGCACACAAGACACATACCAGTGTATATTTTTTGCCTTTTTCAGGGGTAACTTTACCCTGGAGTAGGGTGACCTACAGTGCCATAAGCTTTCATATGGTGTGTCCTCTGCACATTACACCATTATAAATATTCTACCAGTGTGAATGGGTTGGGTGTCTTCACTCACAGGCTAAGACCTATCATTAAATGGATTCTGGCCAATGCTATAAAAACCTGCTGTGGCTTATAAGGGCCTAGGATCCAGACCATGGGGCTTCTCATGGGCCAACTCTGCATGCAGCAGGACAAGCAGTGGCAGTGGGGCAGGTGGCCAGGGTGGGGCTTAACCCAGCTTGCAGCAGGACAAGCAGTGGCAGTGGGGCAGGGGGCCAGGGGGGGGCTTAACCCAGCAGTTGCTCACCTGCCTTGTTGCCAACATGTGCCCTGTTACCACCACTCCATGACCTGGATTTTGGTGGTAGGCCCCATCCCCAAATTCCTGACACCTCTGTCGGACCAGTGAGTCCTATAGTCCAGCCCTGCAAGCTGGATGTGGCCTACAGGCTGTAAATTGGATACAACTAGAATGTGGAACCAAAACAATGCCGGGATCAGGAGGTGGTTAGCTGGGAAACTGCAGGCCTTGCAGTAGTTTAGAGGGGGCACAAGAATGGCACCCAGTACTGCTGCCAGCCCAGCCACTGCTGCCAGCCTGATCCCTACTGGCTATTAGTGCTCAGGGCATAGATCCTTGTTGATACATCTCTGAGGCCTTGTAGTATACATTCCATAGAGAAACTGCTGACACAACAGACAAATAAGGGGAAAACCCAACCCTGTTGTAAGAAGGAGATGTGTTGGCTCTAAGTGCTAACCTAAGAAATAAGGTAGCTGAAGAACAAGAATGTCTGCACCTCTGCTTTATGTTAGGTAGGTCTATACTGGTATACCAGCAGTCATTGGACCTTGATATCTTGGAGTGGTTTGAGAGCACTAGCAGTAACCATGTTAGTTGGGTAACATTGCTTGGACAGGCGCTTCCTTTTCCTTTTTTTTTAAACTTCCACCATGCCAACTACTAGCTGGGCTGAGTTATGAAGGAACTTGTTTAGTCAGGCTCATAACATATTAGGTGATAATAAAAGGTTAGTACAATATACAGGGCCCTGAAGTACGTAATGTGGCAAGGGAAAAGGTCTGGATGTCTTAAAATACTTTCCATTTGAATTTTCAGTCCAGTATTCATTAGAGGTGTGCGAAGTGGGCCCTATTTGATTCAGATTTGGATTGGGATTCAGCCTAAATTAGGGACAGAGAGTCAATTCATTGATTCAGATCACTGTCCCTAATTCGATTTGGCCAAATCCGAATCTGAAGATACAATGCTGATTTGGAGAATTGGCGATTCGGACATAGACACAGCTTTAAAAGTTTTTTCTACATACCTTGAGGTACCAGCATGACTTGTAAATGCTGGGCCAGACTGAACGTCCCACAGGAGCGCAGGGGGCTCCACTGTGTGCTTGGTGGTGAACCCGGAAGTGGACCGAAAGTACTTCCAGTCAACTTCCGGGTCCACCAGGGAGCATGGTGGGGGGGCCTACCCGCACCCTCCCGGCTCAGCAGTCAGCCACAGGGGGACCACGGGTGCCCCCCAGACCCAGGAGTCACCCGTTGCCAAGTCAGGGGGAGTGCCAGGGGGGCCCCAGTGCACTCCCTAGTGGACCCGGAAGTGGACTGGAAGTGCTTCTGGTCCGCTACTGGGCCTGCTGAAAGCACGCTGGGGAGCCCCCCCCCACTTCTGTAGGACACTCCATGTGCCCCAGCATCGCAGCATTCACAAGCCACCTGCTACCTAGAGGTATGTAGAAAAAGCATTTAAAGCTGTTTCTATGTCTAAATCGCCGAATCTTTCCAAATCTATTTGGAGGGTTCCAATTCGATTCAGAGAAATTAAAGCGTCCTCTGATTCAATTCGGATTCAGAGATTCAGCCACCAAATTGGGCCGAATCTCTGCTGAATCAAATCAGGGACTGAAGCTTGGCACAGCTGTAGTATTCATCAGTATAGAAAACTAATAACATGTTAGCTTGTGTCCAAGTTTATTATACCAAATCACTGCGTATTTTAGTAGAGTTGACACATTCTTACAGCCATGAAGGAAATCCTTTGTGTTGTATGGGTCAGTCTTCATTTGTGGTAATTTTCAGTTTTGATCACTGTGCTTGGAGAAGAACATAGTTAACCCTATGTCGACAGAGCAAGAAAGATTAATGAAATGAAGGGTATGCAGAACTTTTGGCAGAGGTGATATCTTTTATTAAACCAACTAAATGGTCGCAAAAAAATTCTTTATTTGCAAGCTTTTGGGTTCATGCACCCTTCCTCAGGCAAAGAAGAAAGCACAGATTGTAACATTTCTCCCAGGCAGAAATGAAAATTCATAATGCACAGGAGAATAAAAAGATGTTATAGCTTTCCCTGGGTGGAAAAGTTCCTTTTATGCAAGTTATGCTCAAATACAAGTTCAAGCAGTCTGAAATGAAGAGTGTCACATATGAGGAATGATTGACAAAACTGGGACTCTGACTTGAGAGAAGGTGATTAAGAGGTAAACTTGATTGAAATATTTGAACGATCTAAGCATGGTTATAAAATGAGGTTTGATCATAGGTGGTGGAAGTGGGGGGCCAACAGGGCTTAGCCCTGCCAAATGTGAGGTGGCAGTAGGGCTGCAAGGCAGCCTGGCTGCAGGTTTCCAGTGGCTGCAGCAGTGGTGGGGAGGGGCATGCATGCAGCAGTGAGGGAGGGAGTGGGGTTGGAGCTGGGACAGGCCCTGCACAGCTGGGGTGGGACACAGGACAAGCCATGAGTGACCTGTCTGGGGGGCACAGCTCCTGCTGCTAAGTGCATCCCTCCCCCAGGAGTCATGGGGAGCATCTGCACCCAGAGTTGTGCAGGTGGGCTGGGCTGCTACTGTGGGATGGGACCAGGGTGGTGTTGAGCTCTTACCAGCAGGGTGGGGATGGGCTACACTGAGCTTGGGGTGGGCAGTGGAGGTACTGGGAGAGGTGCTACGGCGGGGCTGCAGCCACCCCAACGTTTGCTGTAGTCCCCCCAACCCTCCCTCCCAGCGCTGGCTGCCCTAAGCACAGTGTGGCCCAGCCTCTGCCGAGAAGTGCCTGGCACAGCCCTGACCCCAGCCCTTAGCAGCAGCCTGTCTTGCTCCACACAGATCCCAGGCACATGCCCCCCATGCCTCCTGGTGTGCATGCAGTGGTGAGAGCTGATACCCCCTCCCCATGCCGGGTGCCCCCCAGACAAGCCACTCACAGCTCCATCACACACGCCACTCCAGCTGTGCAGGGCCTGCCCCAGCCCCAGCTGGAGCCCCTGCCCAAGCTTCACTCCCTACCCCCACCCCATGGCCCTTCCCCCACAGACTTACCTGCTGGGGGGGGCAGACATGCACACACACACAGATTCCCCAGATAATTTTTTCTCCCTCTGCCTATGGGCTTGATGATCTGTTTAAGGTCATTGGACAGGCCAGGTGTAAAGAATGATAGGCCAGGTGTAAGGTTTAGAATGATACAAGAGATGCAAGGGTATCTTCACCTTTTCCTCTGACCAGTATCCATAACCCTTCCCTTCCTTTTCTTTCCATTTAGATTTATTCTTCCTAATTAAGAGGGGGAAAATTCTGGTTAAACTGACAGTTAAAAAGGCCATTACATGTTTACAATACAAGTGCTAATTTGAGCATTCAGGTTGTATACAGAAGTGCTCAATGCATGTTTTACAACACTATAATTTTGTGCACACAAGTGACAGTTTTTGCTCAGTCTGGCCACAGAACGCAGTTTATAGCTGTGACTAAACACAAGTGCATGGCTGCAGACAGCTTAAAAAATGACTGAAAATCTGACCTCTCATTGCATGAAGTATCAGATGAAGATGTTTCAAAATGTAATGTTTTTTGTAACTTGTGTCTGCTGCCTAGAGAACTTTTTATAGCACTATAAAGTTACAGTGCTCTTAAACATGATGGGTGCGTCCACACATGCAAGCACGTGCGCTTGCAGCAGCTCAAGTAGAAGCGGTGCAAATTTGAGCCGGGGCTTTTTGCCTTAGTGCATGTGCTTGGACATGCACTTTGTTGTGGAGCAAATTGTGCCACTAGGAGCAAAATAATCCTTCCTGGCTTCTTCTGGATCTGCAGCCAGAGGGAACTAGAGCCTGGGGCCAGCACCTGTGCTGCCCCAGCAGTATAAAAAGCTGCCCTGTCTTGGCCCCATCCATACAAAAAGCTGCCCAGGGCTACTCACTCTCTGGAGCTTCTGGGGCTCAGCCAAATGATACCTGGGGACACTACGCCTTGTGCCAGCTGGAGTGCTGCAGCAGCATCCCAAATCCATTTTTAAAACTACCCCAAAATCCATGTTCTTCCACAGTTAAAATAAAAAACCACTCTACACACACACACACATATCTAGAGAGAGAGAGGGACAGTGATAAGTTGGGTAATGCTTTATTGGTATATTTACAATGTTAAAGCAATTTTGAAACCTACCAGTATCTCTATCATCATGAAAAAATACATTCTAAATACTTATATGTATTGATGTGTGCTTTTGGTTTTCTTCACACATGATAGGTATGTGATGGGGGGGGATGTGGTGTTTGCAGAAAGGGGGTGAGAAGGGGTGTGGGGGAAGGCGGGTGGGTGGGTGTGGAGGAATGTGGGTTGGTCTGTGGGTAGGAGTGGGACAATTGTTGGTGGGGGGGGGGGGCACTTTGGGGGGGGGCTGCTCAGGAGGGGTGGGCCCCCTGGCCCCCACAGGGTGCAGCCCCACCCCCAGCACATGGAATGCCCCCCTGCCCAGTGTCCCAGCTCCTCCCTGGAGGGCCACAGTCCCTATCCCCCACAGGGTTCCAGCCCCCTTGCCCAGGGTCCCAGGCACCCTGGAGGGTGCCCCCTCAGGGTCCCAGCTCCACCCTGGAGGGCCCCAGCCCTCTACCCAGGGCCCATAACTAACTTTTAACAGCAGCAGCGGGGGACCATGCGCTGAGCCCAGCCAAGTCCTGCTGGCCCTAGGGCCATTCCTGCCCCCCAGCCGGGCTGGTCTCATGGCAGCAGGACCCAGCGCGGCAGAGGTGGGAGCCAGCCCTGGGGCCCGGCCCATGGTGACAGGACCTGGCGAGGCACGCAGGAACTGGCGAGGCACGCTGCGCTGGGTCCTGCCACCCGGCCGGGCCCTTCCTATACCAGCTCTTCCCTGCCACTCCCCATACGCCCCCCACATCCCCCTGCCACCTCTCACCCACCCACACCCATGAAACCTGCCCCCTCCAACTTACCTTGGACAGGGCAGCAAGAACACCAAAGAGACGCTCTGGCCAAAACCTTTTGGAGGACTGGCTCTGGGCACGGTCTTGAACAGTGCCTTGCTTCGCTCTATTGCGGAGTGGTTCTTTTAGACCTGGGGTCTAATTTTCTCCCCACGCTGCTAACTTGCAGTGTGGGGAACATTTTTTCGTTCCTGCATGTGCCTTTTGCACAGGGGCAAAGGGGTTTGAGGCGGGGCAAGAGGCATGTGCGCGCTCGTCTGGAGATGCCTGACAAGTGCAGTGCTGGAGGAAGGGGGGAGCCACTGAGCTTCCCTGAACTTTCCAAGGCTAGGAGGCAAGGGATGCTCTGCAGCCCCCTGGGGCTTCTCCACTGGTCAGAAATTTGACCAGCATACAGAACTTATTTAAAATGCTGTAGGTTGCTAAAGTGCTGTAAAATACAGTGTTTCAGATTTAATACCTCATTTAACAAGGGTTCATTTAAAGCACTGTACCCATTTTAAAGTTTTGTAAAGCTATGCATTTCTGTTAATTCACAGTCAAAAAGCACTTTAAATGGCAAGAAAAACAACTTCTGTACACACCCTCAGATGTGGCATTTACATGTTCTTTTAAATAATCCTTATTTTGAAACTGGGTTTATAATGTATGTAACCTGAGAAGTGAAAGTGCTACTCATTTGTCTTTTAGCTGATGTTTTAATGGTAGAAAAACTTACCAGTGATGTTGTGAATGAAAATGTAATACATTACTGCAGAAGGTTTATAAGTGGACTAGAGTCTTTCTAATTGTTAGCAAAGAAAGTCGGAGGCCCCCTCTACACATTACATGTATTACACAATTCCCTGGTTAATTGCACAAATAAGGGTCCCCCTCTACATGTGCAGGTAAAGTGAAATGGGATCTAACGTGTGATCCCACAGTTGTGCCTCCTGCCATGCTATACATGTATGGCAGGAGGCACAATTGTGGGTCATGTATTAGATGCCATTGTGCCTTAAGTTATCACTAGTGCTGGGGCAGCCCTGGATCATGATCACAGGCTCCCCCAGCAGGGCCCCTTGTGGGGGGGAGCAGGGATGGGGGTTATTCCCCCTCCTTCCGGCATCCAGCGGAGGAGACAGCGGGGGGCTTATTTCGCTGCAGGGAGTGAGCACAGTGACAATTATGGGCAGACCCGGCTGGCAGTGGGGGTAGAAGGGAGACTAACCTCTTCCCTGCCCCCCTCTGCCTCAGGGGCCATGGTGCCCCGCTGCTGCAGCAGGCCTGGCAGACCTGGCTCAGGTGCCTGCCAGTGTGACAGGGAGGGGGGAATTAAACCCCTCTCTGGCCAAGCCCCCACCCCTACCTGTCCCTGCTCCAGCTGGGGAGCAGAGGGGTGGAGAGAACAGAGAGCCTAGCCCAGAGAGTATGCTGGGATGCTGTAGGACTCTGGTTTAAACCAGGAAGGGGTTTGGGACAGACATTGTATAAACCAGTTTGACCCAAATCAATTAAGTCTGTTACTACATTCAACCAGGTTTATCTCAAACTGGTTTCAGCCATATTGAAACTGGTTTATGTGCACTGAACATCTATTCTGTTACAGGTTTAAACCAGTTTATGATCACTTAAATTGGTTTATGTGTAATGTCTGTCCCTAGGCTCCTACTTTTTTATGGTCTTTTCTCTTTGGGGTGATTGAGTCGTTTTTGCCTTCTGCCATGAACTGTGATATATGCTAGGTCTTTCAGTACTTCTGCAACCCTAATACCAATGAATAAAAGTAGCCCTTTGCTACCAGACACAAATTTAATGCATAAATGTGGTGGTGGGATATGAGATTACTGGTTCTGTAACCCTGCCTAGATTAGTCATTTGTCAGTAAATATGGAACACAGGCACTCAATGGTTTCATAACCTATATACATAACAGATTTATCATTTTGCAATTTTTTTTCTTTTAATTAAAATGAAAATGGCCTTTAGAAATATATCTGAATCAACCAGTTTTTATTCAAATCTTGCTGGCTTCTAATCTGGTCATTAAAAATGGTCTGCATTTTAACGTGTTTTACCAGTGAATACTTTGGCAGAATAAATGCTCCTCTTATCCTCCTAGTGAGGTGTTCCAAGGAAGAGTTAAGGTATCAGCTATTGGCCCTGGATTGTGGAAAGACTTATGCTGTATTGGTCTGCTCTGAGACAAGTGCTTCAGTTTCCTGAAATTCCCCTTGCATGAGCATGATTACTAAATTCCACTTGTATTAAGAGAGGGAAAGGAGAAAGCTGCATTTCATTTTGCATCATTGCTTACAGTTTGGGTTGTGGGAGGAATTAGAAAACATGCAGTTTAAGGAAGGAAAGCAATAGATACTGGACGTTGCCAAGAACTTATGTATTTGATGGAGGTTCCAATACAGAATCAACTTGGTCATATTTATTAAAGTAACTTGATAAGTAGCCTGAAGACCTACTTGGGGCAGCAGACACAGTGTATTCTTCTGGCAAAGCATTTTTCACTTTAGTCCTTAGTCTCCAGTATGGAAACCATCATATCTGCTGCTTTCAGATTAACTGTACATTGTAAAGTGGTTTTGAAATTTTTGCTGAGGATCTAAGCCCATCTCTCCTCACAGGACTGTCTTGCAGTACCATCAGTTTGTTTTGCTTTTCCACTTAGCACTGCTGTAGAAAGTGTCTGGATTGATAAAGTTCATCATTGCAATATATTCTGATGCAAAATATACAATGATCTGACCAATAGTAGTAAACTACTGCATGCCTCAAGCCTAACTCTGCTTGTGGTTTGTTTCAATATACAGATTTTTCTGGTAAATTGTATCTTGCAAGTAATGGATTGGATCATTGTTCTGTGAGTAATTCCCAACTCTGCTATGACTTCATTTTCTGCTCTGCAGGGAGGACAGTGCTATTTACCTTGCAGGGCTGGGTACCCTGGGTCTGGAGATTTATGAGCAGGTGCCAAAGCTGGATGCGGTGATTTTCCCTGCCGGAGGCCATTGTGGTTTGCTGGCAGGATCAGCTGCTGCACTCAAACACCTGAACCCACACATTTCTGTGATTGTAAGTATCACCTTTTAGATGTTGGTCCTTGATGACACTATCTTCCTGTTTCTGAGACTTCACTGTGGCATTGTGCTCTGCTACGATACTGGCAATGAATTTGCATATGCTGTAGGTAGGTTATTTGACCCCACGTTTATCACACAGGAGAATTCTGTTTCAGAGTTTGGGCAGCCTACTTTGCCGCCTGTTGGTTTTTTTAGTAACATATTTGCATTTAAGGCAAATAAAACCAAACTCTCAAATAAAACCAAAAACCAAAAGTGGGTGCAGCAAGGATTTTGTTAAGGAAGCAGTCTCTGGCATTGCAGGGGTGGCTGCACCCCAGCTCCCAGCCCCTCCTCACTGGAGGCAGGCAGACCATGCTGGGGACTATCCAGCACCTAGGGAAATTTTTTTAAGTCCCCAAATCATGCAAAAATCTTTCCCTCCTTCCATTCTTGGCACCCCCTCTCCACCCCTCTTTGCTTAGGAGCGTGTTCCCTCTCCTCCCCATCTATTTCCCACGGTCCCATCTTGCTGCTGCTGCTGTCCTCTGCTGACCTGCAGGTGAGGGAAGCTCCAGAGCAACTCCTGCTCCACTCCAGCTAGGTTGTAAATGGAGCCAGCCTTAACTGGAGACAGTGGCAGTGAGTTCCCCATCCCTGTGCCTGATCCTAGGTTTGTACGGAACCAGGAAAAGGAACCTGCCTGAGCCCTGCTCTCTGCACAGCCCAACTGGAGCAGGGCAGGATTGGCTCTGGAGCCCCTCCTGCCCCCAGGTCAGTCAAGGACAGTGAGAACAAGCACAGTGGTGGGTGGAGAAGGGGAGGAATCAAGGGGAGGGTATGTGCTTTGTGGAAGGAAGGGACAGAGTTCTTACCTGCTTTGGGGACTGAAAAAAAAGGTCCCAGCTGCTGCCCATATGGCATGATTGGAAAGGGGGATGTGACTACCCCCTGCACCCCTTCTGGATCTGCCCCTATCTCTACATATTTGTGTCTTTTTTAACTAGACTCTCAACATTGAACACTGTTTGTTAGCTTTTTTAAAGTCAACTAAAGTAATTAAAATCAGAACTGTTCAAGTCTCAGTGGTTTCAGGATGTTGTGAAACTCTGCTTATTGGAAATTTCTTGGATTTAATCCTTATTTATGGAAGAAGCAACCTGCTCAGATCAACATTGAAGACTGTATTTTTTTAATTAAACAACATTCAACCAAAATTGTAGACAAAATAAATCTTTCTAGTCCACAATAAGGAAACCTTTGCTGAAACTGTGAACACATATAGCAGGCAGCATGTCTGGATGGCTAAGGATTGCTTACAGGCAAGAGAGAAAGAGAGAAAGTCTAGTGATTTTAGCCATCTCCGAAGTGCTTATGATGTATGCTATCATAAACACAATTACTGGGCTGTAACCAAAACTCTAGAAATAAGAACTCAGAACCTGGCCCAAGGAAAATACAGATGTGTACTGAGTATAGTAGAAACCATAATAAGGGAATGAAGAAACAGAAAGTGCAGGTCTATACCACCTCAGAATGGCACCACAGAGCACTGTAGCAAGGCATGGTGCATCTGCTTTATCTTCCAAATCAGCAGCTGAGCAACTGCCTTAATGCAGCGTTGGCTGTGCTGTGAGGGTAAGAACAGATATTGAACTTGCCCAGGGACAAGTTGTGCCTGTGTTTGTTCCAGAACAGAAATGCCTGGGGATTGGTGTGAATGCTCATTGCCTTCCAATCAGGGTTTGGCAGGCAGCAAAATGCATTGCTGCTTTTCTGACATTGATTCAGTAATGCAATCCCAGGACAACCATTCAGATGTACTTGCAGTGCCCCAGGACAAACTCTTAACACTTTTTTATTCCATAAACCTTTTCCAGGTTTGTTCTGGGACAACAGACGTGGACGTCTGAATGATCACGCTTTGCCCCAGAATAAAATGGTTTTATTCTGAGACAAATGCAACATCTGTTTGTAGCCAACATAAGGCTCTGTCCCTTGGTAGGGCTTATTGGCACATATCCAACACCATGCACAAGGAGTGGTGTCTTCCATTTTGAGAGATAGTGTGGATGGCATTGAGGCATGGCAGCTCAGTACAGTGTGCCTTGGGGCTGTGCTAAGTCAGCATAGCTATACCCAACATCTCCAGAGTGCTAGTGCTTTGAAATTATGTGGTATTATTTACAAAGATTTGTTATTCACCTTCCCTGTGCAGAGGATAAATACAAGACCTATGGATCACTTAGGTTGGGTACAAACATTTGGGGAGGTTAGACTGAGTTAAAAATGGCTACCTGATCTAAGGTAAGTCAGGATGGGCGGGGTGGGGCTCGCAGGGAGAGGAGCGTGGGGTCCATCGGGAGATGGGGGGCAAGCAGGACCTGCAGAAGGGATCAAGGGAACAGGGAGTATATGTGGGAGGGATTAGAGGGGCTAGCGGGGCCTGTGTGGTGGCTTAGGGGGGCAGGTGGTGTTCACGTTCATTTACTTGGCTCCCAGCATTGGTCAACACTGATAAAACTGGCACCAGGAGCAGCCTGCAGGATAGAGGGGTTTGGTAGGCTCAGGAGCTGGCTGGTTCATGGGAGTAGGGCTGGGAAGCTAATCTAACCTTCCTGGAACTTCTGTATAGTTTGCACTTAAATGGACCTAACTAGGGATCTAAGTGTAAGGTCCACACCTGGACAAACTAAATTAGATTGGGTGGCCATTTTAATGTAATCTAACCTCCCCAAATATGTATATGCACCCTTAAGGTATATTTTGAGAATGTACGTGGTATATAGACTTTTTGGGGTGCCTATACATGAGAGCCAAGGCTGCTCCAATGTGCTGGAATTCCAGCATGTTGGAGCCAACTTAATTAATTAAGTCTGCTGGAGTGTGGCAATTGCCACACTCCAGCAGCCTCCTGTGTCTCGTGTATCAGCATTCCTTCACTTAAAAATGGTGGCAGGGGTGCTTGAACTCAAGCTTGTTGAATGAGTTTAAGTTCAAGTGCCCCCACTACCCTTTTCAAGTGTGGGGATGCTGATACAGGAGACACAGCAGCACTTTAATTTGTTACTACTTACCTTGAAGCACGAAAATTAATTGTTTTTCCTTCTCTTGTACAGTTATAGTGCTTCTTCATTTAAATCCTGATATTGTGCAATGGTTTGGGCTTTTTTTTTCACTTGGTGAAAATATTTCTGTTCACTTTTTTATATATATGTAGCCCTTCCCCTTCTTTTTTCAGAAGTAAACTAAAGTGGGAGCCTAGTCCCAGGACCTGAGAGCATGTGTTTAGAATAATGGCATATTAAAATTAAATTAGCAATGTGTTTCAGAATTATATCAAACTCTCCTAATACATTTTGCCTAGGCCTTTCTTGAATTTCCATTTTGTTTCCTTGGTGCTGGTGGCTCCTGTACTAATGTGAGCAGTATAGTTATGATCAATTATTTTCCTTTTCCAAGGGTGTTGAATCTGAGAGTTTCCCTATACTACAACAGTCATTAAGGACAGGCCAACCTGTCAAAGACCAGGCCTGCAGCAATCATCAGTTTTATGGAGGTAAGAGAGAGAGAATTACTAACAAAATCATATTGTTATGGATTTCTGCCACCTTGGTGTTCCTTTTTCAGTTAATTTAAGTCAGGTCTAGTTGAATGAAGTAATAAACATGGGCTGAGTGAGGGTACTTTGTGGCCAAAGCATCTCAAATTTCTCTCCCAGCCATATAGTTGAACCAGTAAAAAATATGACAAAAATTATCTCTTCATACATTTTGTGGATCATCATACCTACAACTACACTCCAACACTGCTTTAATAATTATTTCTAGTTCTTTTCACGCTCAGATGATGACTTAGGAATATAAATATTCTTCTTTGGAGCCAAGTTTTGTCACCTGTACTGACAACTAGTATTACCTTATCCTACTAAAGTCAGTGGGACAGTATACCAGGTCAAACACTGGGATGTGTAAGGGTAGAAAAACCTGGTGCTTAAGTATTTAGTTTTATAAAACAATGATCAGAGTTGCCTTCTATAGCAGTACTTGAAAATTAGATACCATTTTTTTTTCATGTGCAGAGAAATCTGGGTATCAAAAGCAAACAAAGAAATAGCTGAATATCTCATTTTCAGAGCACCTACTACTTCGATGTTGTTTACTGTTACAGATGATAAACACCTCTGAAAATATGGCTGTGTAAGCCTGCACCGGTCTTCCCTTCCTCCTTATTCACCTCAGTTCTTCTGTGTGCCCTGTACCCTCTCTTACATATCTGTCTTGAGAGCCTCACCATTTTCTCAAACTAGAGGTGTCAAAAACCAAACTTTTTACCTTTCTTAGTAAAGGCTCCCCTTCTTATGTGTTGCTACCACATAATCTGCTGTGTAACAAAAACATGTTATTTTTAACTTCTGTTTATGCCTCTTTACATATTGAGAACCTGATGGATATCACATCACTGAAGCTGATGAAGCTGTATGACTGTGGGGGGGCAGGTACCTAGGTCTAAATGCATGGATAGAGTTTTACATTATAAACTCTTTGGGGGCAGATATTTGCTCTTTCGTGTTAACAGGTTAACAAGTGTGGAAAGCATTATTTTTAAGACAGCATAATGGCAAGCTACTGTTTTTATTCTATTTCAATTGATAGCCAACATAAAACAAAATGACACTGGGCCTCTTGACAGCTTTGGACATACCTAAAGCAGCCAGCTTCATTTTTTCACATGTCACTTAAATCTGCAGATGTGAGTGGGCCTTGCTTTGGCACCAATTCTTTCCAGTTGACAGGAAAACTTGTAGACAAAGTTGTTACTGTGAGGTAAGTAAAGAAAGAAAATATCCACAGCAATGTTACCTTGAATGGGCATGTTTTAAATGTAATGTTGTATGTTTCAGATGGGCTACAGAGGTGTCTTCCTGATAGCCTGATAAGTCCCTAGTTCTATTAACTTTTAAGAATTTTGCCTATGTGGCACTGAAGACTCAGACTAGAACTTGAACAGATACTCTAACAGCAAAAGCAGTTTCTGCCGATTTCAGTAAATGTCGGATGAGGCCCTTGGGAAGATAACACTAACTACGTCAATATCTGTGTGTTACTTTAAGTAGCATTTATCTTCCCATCTCCTTTGGTGTTCATTAAGCTAGGTTTATTATAATGTCTATTTATAATAAATGTATCCCATAACTTTGCTTTCAGTGGCCTAAATAGTATCTGCATGCATAATAGGAAAGCAATGGGGCATTAAGAGACATATAAACAAAAGAGAAAAGGTGAGAGCTGAAATGATAGGAATAGTGTGGGGAATACAGGGCTGCTCTTATGAAGAGCAGGCTGCCAGGAATTTATAACTGAAGTTTGTCACATCTGCTGTGTAATAATGGTTGTCTTCATTTCTGATCAAACCAAGGATGAATTGTGGGACAGATCCTGAGCTGGGGTAAATTATACCATGTTATGCCAGTTAAGGGTTAATTCCTACTTCTCTTAAAGCAGCTGTGAGAGGTTCAATGACCTTCCTGCTGTAAAACAACCCTTTGACAGCATACAGTAATATGATATAGCAATTCTGAACACTCAGTGGGACACCTCTAATCTGATGTCCCATCAAAATAATGGGGTCAGTGTTGGTTGACAGAAAGTACTTATCCAGTTGAATTATCCAGCCAGAATACTGACGTGAATATTTCTGCAAACAGTTCCATGACATCTTTGTCAGCATGTGTTCAAGACCTGTGTTCATGCTCAGCAACCTAGTGTCCTGTAATGCTATGCTGAGGTTGATGGATAAACCAACCACAGGACAAACAGGATCCCTTAATATTATATAATATTACTAACCCTCTTTGGGAGGTTTATTTGTGTATTCACTCCTCAGTTTGCTAGTTCTAACACTGTTCTTTTTGCCTTAGGGAGGAGGACATTCTCATTGCCATACTGAGGCTGCTAGAATATGAGCGAGCCACAATTGATGCAGAAGGGGCCATTGGACTTGCGGCTTTAGTTGCAGGGAAGCTGCCAGAATTAAAGAGTAAAAGGTACAGTGCCTACAAAGCAGCAATTACAAACACAGACCTTATTAGGGAAGTCACCCAAGAGGGGGAGAGAGAGAAAGGGAGTGCTGTACTTCTCAGACAGAGAAGAGTTTGTTGTTTTCCCTCATTCTGCCCATGAGATCGCCTACACTGGTAAGGAGTAGTGCTTCTAGACAAAGGAGACAGCTCACTGAAAGAGGGATGAAGCCAGCCTACACTGAAGACCTTCCATTATGCTTAATAGATCTAGCAATTTACACCAAGTATTCAGTACTAAGCCCTCTGGCCCATAGTCAGCAAAATTACTTATGGGCTTGAAGTTAAGCATGTGCATAAATTGCAAAAATGCCTTTTTGATCAAAGTCCCTGTAATCATTACTTCATAGGATTGAGCCCAAACTCAAGACATAGCCCAGAATACAAAACCGGGAAGGTGTGAGAGGGGGAGGAGGGAGTGTTGTAGGATCCTGGCTGCACAAAATTTGTGAGTGATTTTTATAGGCTGAGCAGGAAAATATCTGTTGCCAAGCATACCTTGGGTATTTAGGGTGCAAAGTAGCTTGTAGAAAAGGCAAGCCAGATGCAGTGGTGTGCTATGAATAAGAGAAAACAGGGTTTGGGATTCTAGAGGTCTGCGTTGTGTTTCTCCAGCCAGGCCATTGATTCAGTACAAGACTTGACAAGTCACATGTCCTCTCTGCAAAGTGAAACTTCATTAGTGTTTATGCTCCACTTCAAACAGGGCATGCACGACTCACAATTACATCATGTTTATTACTGTTACTTAGTTCCCCAAGTACCTCTCTCAGTACCTTTGGCTTGTTAAATTTTTAAATTTCTACTCTTTGGCAAATTCCAACATTTTGATCAAGGTATGGAATGAATACTGATATTGTCAAGGTTTTCTATAGGAGAGGGATTCAGGAAGATTTATATTTCAGAAAATTCAAAACACTTAGTTCAGTCTCTCAGAAACACAAGGGAACAATTTGATCCTGATTTCTAAGACCTTCCCACAGCTGCTTTCATGGCATGGTGGGAGCTTGCCTTGTCTCAAGCTATGACTCTCCTGAGATTTAGATGTTCTATTCTGGAGCAGAGACACTATCAGCATTTTCAGGCTCCTAGATATGGGACAGGGAGCTTGAAAGTCCCAAAAGAACCTCTGTTAGACATGTAATATATTCTGCAGTTACTGAGGCAACTGCAATATTCTGTTTTGACTTTATACAGACAAGCAGGAAAGACCCTGTTTGCTCTTCCCTTTCAGAGTGGCAATTGCTGTATGCAGTGGCAACCTGGAATTGCCTTTGATGCGACAGTGCATAGATCGTGCCCTGACCCTGGACAACAGAATGTGCAAATTTTCCCTTCTGCTCTCTGACTGCCCAGGGGATATTACAAAGTTACTGGAGATGTTGGCTCGGGAAGACGTGAGGTACTTCAGAATCATGTGGATGCTGCTGGCTGGCCACTGCTCAGAAGATAACACAATGTTTTCTTGAATGCAACCAATGACTAGTGCACTTTAAGTATTAGCTGAAAGTAAATGGATTTATTTAGTAACTAACATAACTCAGATAATCTATCTTCTGCTATTGTAGTCTGTCTCAGAAAACCTTTTCCTGTTACAAAGTGAATGGTGGTATGTGACCTGTAAAATAGGTGCTACAAATATCCTACTCTGGATGGCTCATCTGATATAGTGAACTGTAGAATTTCATTGCTTCTCAAAATGGCAAGGCCTCTGTGTGTGTTGGAGAAAGAACGAATTCTTTTCTGAGACAAACTGAAGGCTTGTAATAGTTTCTACAGCTGACTAAAGCCCAACAATTCCATCTCATGGAACCTTCCAAAGTTTCAACATTTGTTTCCATTGCACATCAGAATGAACCCTAAACCTCTTACAGGATTTTGTGAAAAGCTGAATCTTATTGAAAAGTCTGTTTTTCTGACTGAAAAAAGTCCAGGTTTCTTATTTGAATTTCTCTAGCTGAACAGAGTTCCCCCCTGGACTTCTGAAACCTTTCTGTCAAAAATGTTCAAATTGATAGATGCCAAACCAGAATGTTTTATAGACTAGCTAGGAAACTCTGAGGAAAAAAATGTTATTTGAAATGCTGCAGACTCCCTATTTGTCTTTCCTCTAGTTACTTGAGTTTCTATTAAAGCGTATTAGAAGTACGGAAAGGTACAGAGTTCAGGGCCACTTCTCTCCTTACAGGCGAATGCCTGGCCTGTGTACACGTTTAAAAATTAAGTGTAGCCTTTTCCTCTACAGAGGAACTCAGAGCTATGGATAGGTGCTAAGAAAACACGCAGCCAGATGACTCTACTGGAAAATATTTAGGAGAGGAAGGGAGAGAGGCAATGGAGGATACACCTGGAACGATTTCTAAAGGATTAAATGTCCACAGGATATTTAATGCTTCTAATTTTAGCTTTTTATCCTGTCTTTGGTTGCTCCAATCCAGAAACAGTGTAATACACTAGTAGGCAGCTGGCAATGGAAAATCTTCAGCTTGTTGAATGAGTTATAGTTGTTGCGTTTTGGCACAACTTGATTCTCCCTAAGACTGATAAATAAATATACAACTTATGTACTAACTGATTTCAGTGAAATTATAATGGAATGATTGTTGTCCAGTAGGTGTCAGGAAGACAAACTGGAAATGAGCTCAAAGTATTTAGAGATGTGAACAACCTGTGCTTTGAATTCACATTTATTTCAACCTAGCTGCATATTAAAGGGACATGTATGGATGTGTTTATCATCCAAATGCTCAAAGAAAATCATTTGACAATGACAAGGGCTTGCAGTGATCTCTAATTTGTTTGTTCTAGGGTGTTGGACATTAAGCAAGAACATATGTTTGTGACATCTGATCTCTTCACTAATGAGGTAAGGGGAGAAACACAAACATTATTTAATGCCTTAATACATGCATTGCTCTCCTGTCATTGAAAAGCCAGCAGTAAAATATCCCAGTTCTTAGTATCATAGAATTACGGTGTGTGGATGGATAGATCCTAGAGTTATTTATTCTGGAAGTAATGAACAAACAATGGTATCCAATTGAAAATTCCCTTTGCATCTTTGTAGGATAATTGTAATTATCTGAACTGGTGAGCAACAGTTCATACTGAGGCAAAGTTCTTTTGAACATATAAGAACACCAGCCTTATCCCTTTGGGGGGTAGTTAGTTCAATGAGACTCAAAGGGAGGAATGTCACCAACCAACACATTCATCTAAAACTCCCCACTCTGGGTCTCCTCTGTGACACCAGTTTTACATTGATTCAGTTCCATTGACTTCACTGGTAATCCCCAATCCAGCTACTGCCCAAGTCTAGTCCTTAGCTTGTGATACTGCAGCTCCAAGTGGTATGATGAGGTCCTATTTAGGCTCTTTAGCAGGCCAGGCAATGGGAAGAATTCCTAGATTACTATTTCTTAGATCACTAAATCTGTTCTGGATAACTGTGTTGATCCCAATTTGTTTTGAAACACTCAGCTGATCAGTATTTCTCTTTGTCATTACCATTTTGGATCAGGGTCTTTAAATTTGCAAAGGACGCAGGCTAAACACATGGATCTACCAACAAAGGTGAAAATGGATGTCACTTCAAAGATGTCCAAGTAATTTAAATTCCTAATCTCAAAATAGAGACCTTAGTCTCCTAAATTACTTAGGCACTTTTGAAAAGGTTACTGTGACAGGGTGATGCCAAGGCACCCCAAAAAAATTATCCTACCCTGTCTAGGCCAGTCCATCCCGCACTAGCCCTCCATGACTCATTGTTAACTGATATCTGTATGCTGTGGAAGGCTGCCCTGATCTTACCAAGATGAGCTTCAACTTGTGGCCCCAGCTTCCAAGGCCAATAACACAGCTCTGTGCCTCCCCTATACCATGTCCCATGCCTTGCAGGTGGCATCCTACTCATCATGTCTAGTTCATGCTCTTAACTGGGCCACACTGACTCATGCCCCTAACTGTGCCATATTCTCTTGTCTCATCTGGTTCGTGCCTGCAACTGGGCCACCTTATGACTCATGCCCCTAACTGGGCCATACTCCTGCACCTAGGGAGGAAAAATGTCCAGCATACCTACTGCCTAGGAAATGACCTGCTTGTGGCATGGAAGCGGAAAGGGATCTTGCAGTCCTAGTGGACTCCAAGATGAACATGAGTCGTCAGTGTGACGAAGCCATCAGAAAAGCTAATGGCACTTTATCGTGCATCAGCAGATGCATGACGAACAGATCCAAGGAGGTGATACTTCCCCTCTATCGGGCGCTGGTCAGACCGCAGTTGGAATACTGCGTGCAATTTTGGGTGCCACACTTCAAGACGGATGTGGATAACCTGGAGAGGGTCCAGAGAAGCGCCACTCATATGGTTAAGGGCTTGCAGGCCAAGCTCTATGAGGAGAGACTGGGGCACCTGGACCTTTTTAGCCTCCGCAAGAGAAGGTTGAGAGGCAACCTTGTGGCTGCCTATAAGTTCATCATGGGGGCACAGAAGGGAATTGGTGAGGTTTTATTCACCACGGCGCCCCCGGGGGTTACAAGAAATAATGGCCACAAGCTAGCAGAGAGCAGATTTAGACTAGACATTAGGAAGAACTTCTTCACAGTTGGAGTGGCCAAGGTCTGGAATGGGCTCCCAAGGGAGATGGTGCTCTCCCCTACCCTGGGGGTCTTCAAGAGGAGGTTAGACAGACATCTAGCTGGGGTCATCTGAACCCAGCATACTTTCCTGCCTATGCAGGGGGTCGGACTCGATGATCTATTGAAGTCCCTTCCAACCCTAGCATCTATGAATCCTTAGCTCAGGCCTCTCAACTCCACTCAGACCTGGCTCAGTTCTGCTCCAGGCTTCCCACCTCTGCTCAGACCTGGCTCAGCTTTGTTCTGGCCTTCCCAGCTCTATCCCATCCAGTGGACCCCTGTGATCCACATGATCTTTTTTGTCCCATGATTTTCTATCAGGGTGTGTTCCCTTAGCCTTCCCCCTCCACAGGGTAACCCACAAGGCAGTGGGGCCTGAGGTTTTCCCCTGAAGTGGACCATGTGTGGCATTTCCTTGAGGCTGCCCCACCACAGGCAGCCACACTACAGTAACCAACTCCTGCATGGTGCAGTTTTCAGACTTATCCAGAACCAATCAGACCTACTTGGTCTTTCTGCCTTCCCCCATGGGCTGGTGGCTATTGGGCCCTTTGACCCTGACTCCATCTCATGGCTCTCTCTCTACTCTTGGCCCTACTGTGTGCTTGGACCCCTTATTCTAGAGCCCTCCTCTCAGATGACTCCATTTGCTGTCATCATTCAAACTGTATAGCCCTGGCTCCTAGCTTTGTGCAGTGGTCCCAATCCAGCCTTCATGCCTTTCCAGGCTTGGCCCCGCCATCAGGCCAGTCAGGAAACCAGGCCCTCTGCAGCGCTGACCACCCCTCACTGTAGGCTTGCATCCTTCAGCCCACTCCTGGGCCCTGGCCCCAGCCTAGGCCAGTCAAGGTCCTCGAAACCAGTGAATTGGCCATCAGCCCTCTCAGTCATGGGTCCTTCCACTCGGGCCCCCTCCAACTAACTTGCTTTCTCTCCACAGGGTTTAAAGCCCCACCAGGATTGTATCAGCCCTGCTCCTTGGGTATGCCCTGGCTTTGAGCATGATCTTATCAGCTCAGGCCTGATGTGATCTCCTCTTAGGCCCTTAGAGTACTCAGCCCTCTCTCTTACAGGCTGGCTTGGTTACTCCAAGTCTCTAACCCTCTCAGCCCTGTCCTTGTAGGCCAGTGTTTTCCAACCTATTTAAGTAGGAGATCACCTTTGGCATTTAAAAGTAACCCAAGATCTACCATGCACTGCCACCCCCTTCCCCCCACCCAGAAGGTAAGTCTCGGGGGGGGGCAGATCAAGGCAGAGGGCGAAAAAATTGTTTGGGGGCGCGCCTCCCCAGCAGGTAAATCCCACCTGGCCAGGGCCCCACTCAACTTACCCCTGCTCTTGCCTCTGCAGCACTGTCCCTTACCACGGGGACCTCAATCTAGCCCCCACTCCTTCTCTCCCCCATGGACTGACCTGGGGAGCACACGTGCATGCATGCAGGCACTCATCTCCCCACCCCAGCCTTGGATCAACTCCAAGAGGCTCCAAGATCTACCACAGAGACTCCAAGATCTACCAGTGGCTTGAGATCCACTGGTTGGTGACCACTGCCCTAAGCTGTAGATCCCACCTGGGTCCCCAGGAATCTCCTCCTCCCTAATAGTTCCCACACTAAACCTCCAGGTGGTTCAGATGGCTCTCAGGAGCTGCGATCTTCTGGCTGGTAGGTGTTGCTCCTACAGCTCCCCAGATGTCAGCCATTTTGTTCTTCTAGCCTGGGCTTATGTCCTGACCCAGCCCAGCTCTCCTCCTTTCCCACCATGTGGCCCTCCTAACCAGCCTCAGGTGTCAGCCCCCAAGTCTGCTGACTCAATGATTAGGCCTGGCCGTGCCTGCCAAAGGTTCCATAGGCCTGCCTGATTCCTTGAAGTGGCAGGTATCCCCAGTGCCCTGTTATAGTTACCCTACATCTGGATAACATAGGGGCAAAGGCAGATTCACAGAGGGATCCAGCCACTTCACCCTGAGAACTGGCAGCTGAGGCCATTGAGAGCTCTGGTCTCAGCTGCCAGGTGCATGCACTGGACACATGCCCTTTTGCACCATCCTGAAATCACTGTTGTATAAGGGCATAGTTAAAGTCCCTCCTCATTTTTCCTTGTTCAGAAGAGAACTATTTTTTTAACTGAAAGCTGTGGCCCTTAGAGCTCTTCTAGAAGTTTCTTTGTTAGATTTTTATAAAATTCTTAACATTTATATTTATGGTGCCAAGTAAGTTAAACGAATTAACTTTCCTAGTCTCTTGGCAGAGAGCATTACAAGAATTTTCCATTTCTATTGCAATCTTTGTCATGAGGCTCATTTATCTGAATCTTAAAATCATATCTCATAAAAAAATGTATGCCATGTGCTAATGTCTGCCTTCATGATCTATTTTCATTAGCTGTCTGTTCTGGTAGTCTCAGAGCAACTTGTACTGCAAGAGAATTTTGATAGCCATCCAACTGAAATAAAGAACATTCAAGGGGTCAGAATGTTTCATAAAATGAATTACCTTGCTATTGAATTTGCATAATTCTTTTTAACAGGAATGGAAAAGACTGTATTGTTCCTGTGAGATTATTAGAGATAAGCCTGAGCCGCAAAGTTGAAATCCAGATAAATATCTGTCAAAGATTTGAAGGTGCCTGGATCTTGGCATCAAGCATTATGCTCAGGCTTGGTATTTCTCAATATTCTCCTTTGCTGGACAGAAACAGAAGCAGCTACACAATGCTGAATGCCAAAACTTTAATATTTTGAGTATAAATGACCAGACAACAGGGGCTTACACTTTCACATTGCTGTATGTGTGTAATATATCATGACTAGTAGGATATTAACCATGGGATAAAGTAATAACCCCGTTCACATTACTGTAACACTATTGTAAATATAGATGAAGTCTCTGACTAAACTACAATAATAGAGTAGCTAATTCAGAGAGTTCAACCAATCGAGTCAAGAATTTCACCTCAATGTTTGATCTTTCCTATGACTTACTCTTCCATTTCCCAGTGAGGGAAACTTGGCGTCTACTCACTATTCATCATGAAGATGAAGTGATTTCTTCACCGTGGTGGTGTGTTCGATGTGTTTATTCATCTGGTGCATAGTGAGAAATCTCTGTGGGAAGTTATTTGCTGTTAGTCTGATCCTGGGGTGGTAAGGATTCTAAAAGGCGTTACATCCAGTTGCAATCCCCCACAAAATCATTGGTGGAACATTTTCCTGGAGAAAATAAACA